GGTCCCTGTGATGGCTCTCGTGGTGTGAATATGGTCATCAATTGCCAAGTCGGATGATAAATTCAGCAACCTTGGAACGTTTGATAGCGGAGTATCTAATGACATTAAATCAGCGATGATGTGGTAATCGATATGAAATACATGATGAAACAGTATACTCAGTCCTTTTGTCCATACAATGAATGCTTATCATCTTTTAGAAAACACTAACTGACAGAGTTATCAAGCAAATTCAAAGATGCGATCTAGGAATGTACCTAAGAGAAGAAATCGTGCTCTCCTTCACGGAGAACAGTAAATGTTATTTCACAAATGAAAAAAGTGGAGAAATTTGCTTTTTTCTCCTACCATTTAAGTTCTCTATCTAGGGTTGTTATTTTCTGGAGCAAGTAGTCCATATGAAGCAGAATTTAATCGCATGGGTCAGTATTCCACGAGTAGTCACAGCAAAATACTCGAGCCACCTTATGTTTATTTTGCCGTGGTGGTAATGGAGGCCAGATCCAGTTGACAGTAATCAACAAAGTTTTATACAGGGAGCCTCCGCACCGAGGTTCAACCCCTTACCCATTTTATACCATTCAGCTCTAAGGCTGGTCTCCATAGGAGCCCTGTATCTTTATAAATTAATTTACATTAAGAATTTTCATGAACTATTACATTTAAAAATCCTAATAAAAATACAATAACAGAATTTAAGAGCTGCATTAAAAAGCCTGAAAATACAATGCAAAATCAAATTTAAAGTTTACTAATAAAATATAATAAAATATTAGAGTTATAATAAAAAGAAATGTCTTGCTCAGCGGCAGAACGTTTAAATGTTTTCACTCTTCACAATGTTTAATGGGAGTTCGTTACAAATTTTTGCACCAGTAAAAAGAACGGTCCTTTTCCCAAACTTCCGTTTAACGTTTGGTAGGGATAGCATCATACTTTGCCTTGTAGAATAATTGTGAATGTTCGAAAATCTAGTAAAATATAATGAAATATGAATAATGCCTCTCTGTGTCCGCAGTAATTGGCTTTAGCTGTTGCGGTGTCCCTGCCCTAATATTTATTACGTTCTTATTACTAGTGTTTGCATATGTACAGTGTCTTTGTTTTTTTGTTTTTTGTTTTGCATTCTTCAGGGCAAAGCTAATAAAATAAAATAAAATAAAATAGATAACAAATGTAATGAAATATAGATAGTGTCTCCATATAATGTATATAATATATATAAAGTCTCTAATGGAGTCTAGCAAAGTTGCGTGCTTGCCCCGACACAGTTCTCTTTTTACCTGTCAGCAACACCAGACCTTTTGAGGGAGTTGAGGATAGTATCTACATACAAACGCGTCCCAGTTATTCTGACAAGTTTAACGCAGCTTTTTCAGAGGGAAAACACGCACAACGCAGATCCTTGAGAGGGAAGTGCTGGTGCAGATGACAGAGCTGTAGCTGCCCACAGTGCAAGAGATACCTCCCAATTTTGCCACAAGATCAACCGATAAAGAACACTGACTGCTTAAAAACGTTGATCCGGCTCCCGAGCCAGGGGCACCCAACGAGAATATAGTTCAAAACCACTTAAACAAAGCATTGTTAAACGTATTTTAGTATTTAAACGGTAGATATAGGCATATTTTTATCCCCTAAAAATTTTTCATCTGTTCGGATTTCCTAGCTGAAAGTCTCGTGATCCGAAAATTATAGGGATCAAAACTTACCTTTTCGAAAATTTCAGCCAGATTAAAGGCTTCCGAAAATTCTAGGTGACCTTTTAAGGGTAAAAATCCGTTAAAAATGGGCAATTATACTATTTTTTAAAAGTTCGAATATCCTAGGAGAGGCAGGGAAGCAAGAAATTTTACAACAAATGTTCCGAAAATTCTAGATCTCGAATCGTCTTCCGAACAGATATTTTCCGAAAATTGTCGTTGGGTGGCCCTGCTGAGCTAACAACCATAACTATCGACCAGGATGTCCTACCTGGGTTAGTGTTCTGACCGCTGAATACCTGGGAAGCTCTATCTCCAAAAACGTTGCTAGCCTAGACAGTTTAATAATATACAGGATGGGAAATCCAATTGCTGCGTTTGGATAGGACAGGCTATGGAAAAACCAGCGCGTGTAAGGTATATCGAGCTGATGTCCTTTCCTCCCGGATCTATGGTGATGAAACATATATCATACCCAAATGAAGAAGTTCTGTGCTTATATGATGAAACATAAGGGTCTTAGTGAATGCTTCCTGATGCAGAAATCGGCTCCTCTGTGCAGGGTTACCATCAATGGCTGATATTCTCATTAAGAAAAAATTTAAGTGGCTGGGTCACGTGGATAGGATATATATAACAAACTACCAAAGCAGCTGTTGTACTCTCAGCTCTGTGGAAATGAGTGAGGTTAAAAGACGTTGCTAAGCGAATTATGAAATTGAGAAATATCGATCACAGCTGTTGACAGGAGAATCGCAACGACAGATCTACATGCAGGAAACTTATCCTAAGCTATGCTTAAACCTTAATGTTGTTGACGATGATGATAGGGCCATTTATACGAGGAAAAATAAGACGCGTCTTACATAAGATGCGTCTTAAATAAGACGCGAACTGGACCATTTATACGAGCATGTCTTATCTAAGTCCTCTGTATACTTAAACTTACTTTTAACGTGCAAGTTTATAATACGAAGATAGCAATTTGCTTAGTAAATATAAATTGTGATAGTTTAAAGTTAAAAGGGTCTACTTACATCAGCAGATGTCACACATTTGTGCAGGAGGTCTGCTATCGCCTTCTCCTTACATAATAACAAAAAAATCGTTTTCCTCCGCGATGGACCAAGTGTTTCTTTTTACCTTTAACGGCGTGCTGAATAGGCAAAGAAAGGAAAACGCGTTGTAATTTGTAAACAATTTTTTCCCGCCAGTGGCCTGCCAGTCCACCGCGTGGCAAGCGATAATTTTCCCGCCAAAAATTAACGCATGCGTACTATGCGTTCGCGTCTTATGTAAGACGCGAAGGTCATTCTATACGAAGTTTTTCTTGTCTTAGCTAAGACGCGTCTTATCTAGGAACAGGTGTTAAGGGCTGTTCTATAATAAGACGCGTCTTAGCTAAGTCGCGTCTCATTTTAGACGAAATGTGCTATTGATACGGAAAGTTCGCGTCTTATTTAAGACGCGTCTTATTTTTCCTCGTATAAATGGCCCTGATGATGATAATGAGGAGGGGTGGGGATTCTAGGTGGGAAAGGTTTTGCTGCGTAAGAATGAAAGTAATCTTCCAGACTGGGACTCCATTGGTGGATCATTAATCCTTCAATATGCGCTCGAGACTCAAGATTTTACCAACAAAGTCCTACAAAAGCTAGCTTTTGAATCAATTAATGCAGTTCTATATCGCGACTAAGACTCATTTGTTGTCATTTACCTTGTCAGGACTACATGTAAAAACTGGAAGGTATGGTCCAAGAGCTAGAGTTTGGCCAGTGGAAATTGCATCGAAGCTGAAGATACACCAACAGCCTAAAAGACCTCAGAACTGTCCAAAATTCCCTGACCCTCAGTTTCAAATTAAAACTGCCTCTGGAAAAGATGAATGGGACCTCTAACCAACCCGTTTTCCTGTACATGAGACTGTCAAACCCACCCCACAATTCAACAATCCTGGTAACATCACTAAAGAAAACTGATCTCAAATTCCGACCGATAGTCTGCGCCTAGAGAACCTTTTAATACGAAACGGCCAAGTACCTGGCCTCCTACTTAGCTTTCGCTCACTCAGAATGAATACAGCATCCCAAACCCCTACGGACTTTGCCAACGGTCTAATCAACAGAACCCTCACACAAACGAGACAAATCAAAATTCTTTTTAACGTGAAAGCGAACAAGCATTTACGGATCACACGTGGTCTAACAGGTGATTGTTCTTGCGATGCTAATTGTATCGGTGAAATCCTGGGAAATGTAAAGTTACAAATCCATGGACATTCCAATCCGTGTAATGACCTCGAACCTGCCCGTTACTCAGATGAGAATTAGCCTGAGAAAACGAGCGACACTTTGCGACACCACAACTGGTTTCCCAGCGTGATGACGTCTGAGGAGCAAGCGCCGAAATTTCACAATGATGACGTGTTCACTATTCAGGTCCGAGTTGCGCTTCTGATTGGTCATACCGGGATGGAGATTTGTTTAAGCCAATCAGAAACATTACCCAGATCTTGATAGCCTTTCGAGAGCAAGCTCTGCATTTGGGATTCCTGTGCCCGTTCCGAAAACCTTTGCGATTTTATTGGCTGCAATTTCGAATCACGTGCATGTCAGGTAACAGACAAAAGCTACTGGGTAGAAAGGCAAAGCACAAATTGATAGAAGAGGAAACCGGCGTTTGTGAGTTTGACTGGATAATTGGTTTGTTATGTTGCTTCGTTTTGAAGTTGCGTGTTAGGTCGTGAACAGCTGCACAGAATGTGATTTTTCTCCTGTGTTTAATTTGCCACCGAACCAACGAGTTCACAGTTGTCGAACCAATAGATTCACCATAACAAATCAAACCAACGAGTTCCAGAACCAGTTAGCTCACTTGTAAACTTACCGAGGGAAGAATGCACTTGTTGCGAAAAACTATTTAAATATGAAATAAATATTGAAGCAATTTTCACATTGCAACGACGATTCTCTTGAATTTACAAACCGATTTCAGAGCGGTCATGAGGTATAGAATGGGGCGAATGTGGACTGTAAAAACGGCGGATTAGGTATAAAATGCGGACTACTGCCCGTGGTTAAAAACTGGGCTAAATATTTGTAGGTAAGGTAAAAATAACATTAAAGGATCGCTAAATAGCACAACACGTGGGTTACATTTTTGCATGCGTGCTCCTATATGTACTCCAAGGCATTAGAAATAGAGTTGTGGCAAGTCTTGGTCTATGACTCGATTACAGGGTAAAAACTACTAGAATTTCATCTTGACACCTCAAACGATTATCTTAATATATCTGTTGTCTGTGTTCGTTAAATTAAGGGTCGGTTTAAAGTATCAACCCGTATTGCCGCTACACTAGCTCAACTTCCTGATTCGGCGCTTCTTAGTTTCATATCTTTTATTGATTTAAAGCAGTAAAAATTAAATTCTGTAGTCCTTTTCAATTCATTCAGAGTTTCAGTACTTAGTTTTCTTTTTAGCTAACTTACATTTTCCATTTTAAAGAATTCTTTAAACTTTATTGACTGTTATGAGTTTTTTTTGTTTTTTCAAAAATTATTTGAGGTGTTCCTATAGTAAGAAAACTTTGATATTTAGACAGATATGATATTAGTTCGAGAACTTCTTCGGCTCATTTAAGACAACATTGCACTTCATTTGCATCAGTGTCTGCAATTCCCAACCAATGTACCCAACTGTCCAACACATCCCGCAGAAGCGCCTTCAAGGCGTTTTCTTGTTTAACACTATAGTTAGGGCAGTCAAACTGGATGGAAATGGATTGAAACTTGAGGAAGCTGGGCCAAATTTTTCACGTTTTAATGATATACCTGAAAAAAAAAAATCAATCACTCCAATGGTGCTTTCTAATGACATCGGTTTCATATCTTTTTCATAACTCTACAGGAGCTTTTCGTTTATGGTGAAGGTACTAAGTTATAACTTGAGCACAGAACTGACCTAAAACAACAATATCCTAATTACAACATTGCCATTCGAGTCGAAGCTTGTCGGGAATCTCTGTCAGATATAGAGTTGCTCGCGTACACGACAATTAAAGTGAAATAGCATGTTCGCGTGCTTAACAGTTCTAAGGGCCTCTTAAAACGAGCCCGGTTACTGGGACCAATTTCGCCTTGGGTTCATATGAGAAATTTCAGCCCGGTTTCCGAGATGAAAAAGGGCCATAGATCCTAGGGAAGAGTTTTGGCGAGAAATTCAAGGAACAAAGCAAATATGACGAAACACAAAAACTATGACTTTTGCGTCTACCACAGCTTTTTTAACCCTAAAGCTGTACCGATGGGATTCTTATGATGTGGAAAATACAGCAAGCAATGTGAGACGGTTGGAAAAACCGAGCCGTGATCTCGGGAACCGAGCCAGCTGCCCTCTCATATGAACACATCGAAAATTCTACAAAGGATTTAGAGGAAAGCGAAATATCGGACATTGCAACACCATGGACCAATTTTGTCTTCAGAGCATATTATCTCCAGGGGGTCTAGAAAAATTATTTCTCGGTGTTTTGTCTTAAAACAGGCTATAAAATAATGTGGTAGTGGCTTTTAAGGTTAGGTTTTAGCAAGAGCCCATGGCTTCTTTTCCATCAATAAACTAAAAGTGTTACACCTCTTAATAGAGCGGTTTTCATTTGAGTGTCGAAAAGTAATTGGTTTTGCACTTTCTACACGATGCGATTGGCTTAAAAGATTCGCGCCACCTTTTCATCCAATCAGAAGTAAAACCAAAGCCAATTGTGACGCGCTCGCATGCATTTTCCCGCGCTTTGCGTCAGCCACATGTAATTACTTCGAGTTTTGATTGGTTCAGTGTATTGTCTGTGTCCTATGTGATTGGCCAGAGTAATTACTTTGGTTTTGGTTTTACGACACTCAAACGAAAACCACTCTAACTCACAACAGTGATTACTACTAAGTACATCATCACTGTTTTAAAACGGCAGAGGTAAGGTCTTACAAACATTGCAATCGAAACAGTTCGTGTGATGTATGGTTCAATTTGACCTGCAACCATGCTCCCCCGGGCATACCCCTGGGGATTTGCTTTTTTTTCTCTCCTGGTGGTGGTCTATTCCCTGGGAAAAATCAAAATTAACTTCTCTTTGACTTTGCGAAGTTGTGTTATTTCTCACCCAGTTTGCACGAAGCTGCGGAATTCACTCAAGACTACTTATTTTCAAGGGAATTTGCCAGAGAATGGATGGAGAAAAATAACCTATCGAAATGAAAGTCTGTATTTAAAGGTATGCTTTCAACGAATGTGCGCTGATGATTCGTACTTGAATCGACTTTTAATTTTTATTTTTTTGGCAACAGAAAAGAAAGAAATATTTCTTCAGTCTCGTTTAATTATAAGACGACTTAAATAGACTGCATATGAAAACAGATACAAGACTTTTAATATATATAGATAAACAGAGATTCAATCCAGTGTTCTTATAAAGTGCTCTACCAAGGAGGCGCTCAAAAAGGTTTTTCTTCGTTTTCGTTTCCAAATGTATTGTTCATGTTTTAACCATATTTTACATGTACTATCCTTCTCTAAATAAACTTTAGAATGCATTTATAAATGTCTGCATACGTCTCGTTTTGCTTTTCAACAGAAATCAATATTGTTCTCAAAAGATGTACCGTATATGAGGTCGATCAGGAGCTCGGGGGTGGGGAGAGGACTGCTTCAAACAATTCCCTACCCCCCGGCCCCGAGGGGCTGGACTTTTCCAAGGGGTTGCCCAGGGGGGTGGTAACAGGTCAAATTGAACCATGCATAAAACCCATTAGCCACGAAACAAGAAACCGCTAACTACAAATCACTGCACCCAAAGCTTGTGCCCATTCTTCTTAGAGTTTCTGAATTGAGGGGTCATGATCATGCGTGTCAGATTATATTACGCAGCCGCACTTTGCCACCCAGCCCTGGAGATATCTTACGTAAGCTTTGTTAGGGTCATCATCCTTAAAGAAAACAATTTTTTTGGTAGTAAATTCAGTCGGACGACAACAGGCGTGAGGCTGAAACATATTTAAGTTTATGAAAACTTGAGCCCGCGTCGGATTCTTGGCGGTGGCCGATTGAGCACACACTCCTTCGCACACATAGGTGTTCAGCACTCTGGGCTGGATGATGAAATCCAAGCCAAGGTCTTGAAAGTCGACAGTCATCTTATGCCCGCGACAACAATTTCTTGGCTCGTTGTCTTTGCACTCTGTGAGGTAATCACCTGATGATGATGATCTTTGCCTTCTGCTGGCATATTTCTTCTCTCCAGTGTTCACCACCAGAAATGGTTGTTTTGCCTCCGGGGCGGAGCCACTTATACCACCAACAACAGCTTTCGATTTCTTCGCCACTATTTCCAAGCTTAAGTTAAACGCTGGATACAGTGAGAACCACTCTTTCACCAAAAAAGTAACGTTCATCGAGTACCAACCAGTCCTGTTGAGCTGTTCTGAGTGGAAAAGTTCTTTTGCGAGGGCACCTTTTCCGTTTGCTTTGTAGCCTCTGTAAAGGACCAATTCGTATTCTCCAGCTGCCCCAGTGATAGAAACCCACAAGGTTGCAGATTTGACTTCAAGGCCCATGTGGCCAGAATTCACCTTGAATAAGTAGTTTTTCCCAACTTTATGTCCTTGGAGGAAAATGAGAAAATTATTTTGTCAACAACTGTAGTAACCGTCTGTGTAAGAATGTCTCGTTTCCTACCTTGATAATAAAATTTCATTCAAATGCATAAAAGCATAGCAGACAATAAATATATGGTGCGTGATGAAACAGCTGTTTGCCACCACCTTTTTAATTTTGATTGAAACACAAAGAATTTAAAGTGGTTATAAATATTGAAAAACACCAATTATGACGGCATTCATGTTTTCATGTAAGATAAATGTGATCTCGTATACGTTATATACTTTGAGAAAATTATGCCACCAGCTACCCTGGATTCGAAGCCCGGTATGGGCAGATGCGATATATACAAGGGAAGATGGGCGACCGAAAGAGGAAACGAAATGCATTTAAAAATTGTCATTTTGTAATTAATTTTGCTTCTTTTTGCACAGTCTAATTATTTACTTCTACTCGATAATCAGTGTCATGAAATTTTTTTGATCAACAAAAAAAATTGTTTTAACCCTTATTGTTTTGCACTACAGGGCAAAATATAATCCCAGGAGCCAAAGTCCTCCTTGATAATTCTTTGCTTATTTATCAGTTGTTGCCGAATCCAGCTTTTTAGACACTTAACCATTGACGGAGGTCATGTCAGTGTTTGTTCCACTATGAAAAGAACAATGGAAAACTCAGCTAAACTTCTGGCAGGAAAAAAAAATATTTCTTTAAGTATCAGATTAAACCTTTTGTACAAAAGGAAAGAACTCTGCTGCACACCCCTATTTTTTTTTAGCAAGATAGACCATTAAGTGCAAAAGCTCCTGCGTGTCCTGTCCGTGTTTCGCTATTGTCTTGGGTTTCTAAAAAAAGTTCCTAACCTATGCGGTCGCCGCTCCTGGCCCCCATTTTTAAGCTACGTGAGTTAAACTTTTTTTCGGTGCTGCGGTTTGCTCAGTCTCACGCGCACAACCGAAATCACAATATTGTTTCAAATCAAGAACCACCACAAAAGAAGACTTATTAATACCCAGTAATAAATTCGTGGCTCGCTTAGAATTGAACCTTGGTTTTTGCTTGATGATTTTCCAATTATTGCACGATATTTTTTTCTTTTTTATCGAAGAAAATGTACAGTGGCTATTTACTGCAAACGTAACCTAGCCCTTAACTAACTAATAACTAAGCCCACCTTGAACGGGAAATAAGAAAATTCGTTTAATTTTTGCGTAGTCCTCTTGTTTCTTCAAGGTGGATTTTCTGTTGTCGGCCTCGACCATGTACCTGAGAATGTGTGGAGCCTTTCGGAGTGTAGTATTGCTGACATTCGGAACAGTAGAAAACCCCAGCTCTTTAAGAAGTCTTTCCTTGAAAGATTCCAGAAAGATTTGCTCGATGGCAGAAACATTTCGGTTGCTAACTTGCAACGAAGTCGATTCGTGGCTCAGCAAAACGATCGTCAAAGTGACTAAAATCACCAAAGAGTTCATTTTGCTGAAGGAACTAGTTCCGGTAAAATGCTGATCGTCTAGAATTGTAGGGACTTATATTTAGCAATATGGGGGTATACATTACCTTATCTTTTCAAACGTGACTGATATAACTTCATGAAACGTCATACCTTATTTGTGTCATTGTTGTGATTGTTAAAGTACCTGCCTGGCGCCTTACCAAGGAAAACTCGAAAACTTGTATCCATTTTTTGAAGAAAACTTGCCGTTATTTAGAGGGGAAAGCACCTTTTCTCTCCGATGGAGAGAAAAGGTGAGGAAAATTACGAGAAACGACTTGGATACGAGAAACGATGGGAAAATTCGTTTTTTTCTCATAACTTCCTACCCTTTCATATACTTTAATTAGTGAAATCCTAACGCTTTCGTATACCTGAAGGACCTGAAGCCTGAAGGCCAAGCCTCTCCCCTAGGCCAGTTTAGGGAGTACCTCCCCCTGGGAATCAAGGCTCCCTCTTGCATATTGAACTCTTCAGGAATCTTAGACGAACGTTTTTGCATTTCCTCGACTTTAGAATTCAAAGATTTCTGTCTATTTTTTTTCTCCTTTCTTACAGAAATCTCCCAAGCAAAGAAATGAGTTTCCGGCTCGGATACTCCGGGCAACCGAATCCCACGTCATAGCATAAATAAATTGATATGGTGTATTGATTGATTGAAGGTGCAGGCTGGCTAGAAGAAAAACAAACACTTGAAAAGTGATACGTCCACACGCGTGACTAGTATCTCCGGAAGTCTTTCTGGATTGAATTGACAAATCACTTTATTAGTACAAACAAACGTCTTATATCGTTCATATGATTCACATTTTCGAAATAAATAAAATTCAGCGGCTTTCTGTCTGCAACCAACTAATAACATTCCCACTAGAGTTCTAGAATTTCGCAATCAATTATAGAAAAGGTATGACAAATAGTATTAAAATTTTTAAAAACAATCGATTCAAATTTCAAAAACGATTGTCCCCCTTGACTCTTGTTAAGGGTTATCAAACGAATAAAAGTATTGTTGTTAGGAATTCAGATTTTGCTTTTCTACTTTAATTCTAGGAGAAATTATATTTGATATCTAGCTATATTAAGTATTCTAATATTTGTAAGTGATTAGACCTAGAAGCTCTTTCTTCAGAATCGGTCTTATAGATGAGAAATAGTAAGGTATCATGAGTCAAGTTCATTAATTTTTACCGTAGGTTTATACAGTCCGTTTGGGTCAGTATACAAGTCATGCTACTAAGCTACCATGAGAAAGTTTACACGTAATGCCAGATGATCTAAATATGAGATCTTTTAACTGAACTGAAAGCGAAGAAAACTGGCAAAAACGCATTTTTGAGTTTCATTAGTATTATTGATATCATATTATTAACTTTTAATACAGACATATTTGGAATACCGATTTCTTTTTGTTATTTTTACCCGTAAAAGTTCAAAGAGCAAGGAGAAATGGAGAGCGAGCAATTGTGGATTGTGTTAAATAATTCAATGCAATATTTCCCAAAAATTGTTTCCTGATAAAACTCAGACTCAGTAAGATCGATAAAATTTCTTCCAAAAAATGGGATTGTTCTATGGCTCCATATAGGACAAAGGGCCCATTAATAAACACAGTACAGCTAGCACCATTGATGGCCAAATCGCGTGAAAGAACGTATTCCAAAAGAGAAAAGTATTGATAAAAATCAGTGTGGGTTTGATCTGAGAAAAATTTATCGAGTCAATTTACTGTTTACAATAGTTTAGCGGATCTGGCGCTGCAATTGTGGCTCTACGGATTAGATTCAAGATCGGATAACCTTCATTTTTATATCATATTAAAACCACGCGGTGGTCAAATCTGGTGCTGTTGACACGCTTTTTGAGAAAAAATAGATGCTCTGTTGATTGGCTAAAAAAAACCTCGCGACCATTTCTCCCCCAATGACCTAACCACCTTTGAGATATCTATCCGCATCAGCAAACTGATAACCATTTCACTTTGATGCTGTGACTAAATCAGTTTACAAATTATGTAACTCAAACGAATCAAGCTCGCATTACGTTGACCAACGAAAAATGCAAGGCAATATGCTTCAAGAGCGTCTGGAGATCCACATTTATTCGTGCATAGAAATAAAATTCAGACACATTACTGGAGCATCAACGCACATTACTCCAAATTTAGTTATTTTGTTGTTTACATGTATAATAAAATTGCCTGGTGGACGGACAAAGAGATCAGGTCTTTATTTAAGACATTTCAGAAACACGTGTTAGGTGGTAAGCTCATCACTGCTCAACGATAAACTAGAGAGCTCTGAAAGAAGACCTTTTTGAGCGGAGCACGTCACGTGGAAGTGAACTTTTTGCTCCGGCGGGCTTTTAGCATTCTTATGCAATGGCTTTGTTGCGTGCAAATCGTCTCTGTGTAAGAGTAAACACGCTTGACCCTATTCCTGACCGAAAAAAATGTCATATTCCACACCCGTTTTCAGACCTGGCATACGCAGAAATTACGTCATCGTTACTTAGATTAGAAATCGAAAAATCCATGTCGAATCCTCATATTACTCTTTCTTTCTTATTCAGTTGCAGTTAAAACGACAAATATATTAATACATTCCGTAGTTCCCACGATGATCATACTCAATTCCAGACCAAAATGAGCGAAGTCTATGCCCGTTTTTCAGACCGAAACGGCACTAAAACCATAAACTTTGGGGCGGCATATACCTTATGGCTAAAATAAACAAAACACTATTTAGACCTGTTTGTAGTGTTGCATCTATGGAGCATGGAGGATACGAATAAAAGTGGTCTTATCAGCTAAGTGAGCAAATTCGTTCCCAGGGTCCTACTTACTCGACCCAGCGTAGGAGAGGACCCTGGGAACGAGGTTGGTGACTAATTAGGGCTAATTCATATTTTTGAAGGGGCATTTGATTTGTAAGTGTGGTCCGAAATGCAAATGCTTGTTTTAGACTAGTTATTTCTCGAAAAAAAAATCATCTTCAGGATGTTAAAACGTCTCGAAACACCTGGAAAATTTGTATTTTGAATTCTTGCCAAACCTTAAAAACCATTCAAAATAGTCAAGTTCTTACGGCTTCCAATTTGCCTTTGATAAAGCTTAATCCTCGATGATATAACTACATAAGCCACCTCAAAAATGCTTTGAAACGAACGAGAAGCCAAAATCTTATTTTTTGTGGTTGTGTGGCAGGAAACGGAGTCTTAAAAGTACAAAGTCTCACTAAAGTGGCAGGCCACAGTTCAACTGAACAGGAAAGCCACAGACCGGCGGAAGGCACGCACAGTTACACATCACCTAGTGCAGCCAAGCCAGTTAAATGGTTGAATTTGAGTCTAGCCAGCAAGCAATTGCGAAAACTAGTAGGAACCTCGCCTCGCGTTTTTAAAAGCGGGCTTAATTTATCTCCCTCGCCCTTCCCTATCTTCATCTTTTTAGGCCTCCTTGTCCCGGCTGGACAAAAGATGGATAAACGCTATTCACCGGATAATTACCCTGGGGTTGCCATTGTACACTTTGAAGACCTACAACTAAAAAGAGCGTCCCTGTGGTCATTTTTCTCCTCGCCATGGCCACGTCAGTGTTCACTGCGACTCAGTCTGGAGAGATGATTGTTTGCACTAACATACGTGCAATCTACTGCAGTAGCCTGCGTAGTAGGCGCTCGGAAGTAACGGGGCGCGCGAGGGAGACACGAGCGGGCAAAGGGAAATGACTTTCATGGGCCTCTCGAAAGAAGGATTATGCAGTCTTTCCATGATGCATTGCGCCGTAATATATTATCGAATTGGTTTGTGACGTCATCACTTTCAAAATGGATGCATTGAATAATGAAGGCGCTCCCTCTTCCCTCGCGTGTCTCCCTCGCGCTTTCGGTTTTTTCTTGTACCCACTTCTTTCAAACTATTAGGGAGCTTTAGCATCGACGACGGCAACGGCAGCGAAAACGTCAGTTTTAAAATGAATTCCCGTTTTTTCAATCTTTCTCGCGTTTATTTCAATTTGCTGAAAATGGCAAGTGTAGGCGAATTTCCCTGGAGTTGATTTCTTGAGGACCGCACTCAAGTTTAGAGAGAGAAAAAGAGATTCGTCGTCGCTTGTTTACGTCCTCTATAAAACTTGCAATTAGGCATTTTCACGTCGTAGTCGTGCAAGGACGGTAAAGAAATGTACAAAAAAGCGTGATGCACGTGCAAAGTTGTTGTTTTGCGTAATAAACCTATTGCTTTTTTGACGTCCTGGTTGCCGTCGCCGTCGTCGTTGCTAAAGCTCCCTACTACTATACTGAGAAAACGGCTGATCATATCCCCAGCTCTGGTGCACACAAGCCAGACATAGAGAGAGATACTCACGTTTCTTCTGACCTTGAGCAAGAAGAGATAAATCTTCTCTTGCCTTGAGATATACATGTGTGTAGTGAAGAAGTAAAAGGGTTGTAAATAAAAGCCGGCGAGCAAGCTCTCCGGGAGAGCTATTAAGCCTTAAAACTATTTCGAACGAAATAATACTCAAAGAGAATAATTTAATCCATTTACAACATATCGAATGTAATGAAAACCATGATAGTGCCTAATTTTCGCCATTCTTTTTGTAGTCAAATAAATGTTCAACTAACAACAAAGTCAAGACATGTTTAAGCACTGTTCAGTTAAACAGCCTCACAGAGGAGCTGTCGCTAGAAAATTCACCTTCTAAATCCTTTTTGCCGGATGTACAATTCGTCTTACCTGTCAAGTGATAAAAATTTACCCTTGCGCTGCCGGTGGATAGCGCTATCCAGCTTTTGAACCACTGAGGCCAGAGGACTCTGGGGTCGAGATTGAATGAATAGCCACTCTTGTAAAGGCGCGAATCAATAAAAGATGGTTATACCCAGATAACCGTTTCGCGACCTTTCTTATATGGGGTCTTTGTCGGGTTTTCATATACTGCGGGAAAAGGAATCTCCCGAGGAAAATTAAGGTGGTTAT